ATCTCATTTAACTGCCAAAATCTCAGACAATGTTGGACATGTGCTATCATATGCTGAGATGACTGAAGAGTACAAAATGTTCATGAAGATAGTTTCCAGAAAGTGATGAAACTATGTGAGTTAAAATGCCTTAACAATTTACCACAGTGGTCAACATAAGTGTAGATATACTGAGTCAGGATTCATAAAAAGCACTCTGTTTAATTGTGCAATTGGGAGGGGGGGAGAGGTGTATATTCCAATCCACCAAATTTTATATTTTTTTTTAATTAAAGGTTTTGTTAAAGGAATCACAACTCCTAAGACTGTCAGAAATGAGCCTTTTTTAAGGAGAATTTTCAAATCGGTTTAAATGATAGAAGATATCCCTCATAAATTTTGAAAAGAAGTGAATCCCTATCTATCCCACCATGGATTCTTTTTCTTGGGAAAGGATGAATGATAGTTGTACATTATATATTATAGTTTAATGTATATAACCTATATTATATCTTCCAAATATCCCAATTCATCGTAGCACACTCTATTATTAAAGCCATCCTTTTTCTTCCATGTTAAATATGATTTCCAATACAAATGACTGATTTAAATTTCCTCCATCAATTCTTCTCTGAATATCAGCATGCAGTGCAACAGCTAATGCTGGATACAAGCTTTAAGAAAAAAAGAGAAAAGAAGAAAAGCTTTTACATTGATGAACATTTTCATTAATTTATCAGACATTAAAGTAAGTGGCAAAGGAAGAAATATCTTCTATCCCAATTCTGTTTTGTTCTATTTTGTCTTTGCTTTTATATGAAGAATTGTGAGGTCAATGTGACTCTGGGATATTCATTATAATTTTTCCCTTGGGTAATACCGTAAAGGTCACAGAATGGAGTAATCATCTCCTTTATGTCTTACTGGCAAGCTTATGACTGAAGTATTGCTGCACTAATATGTGTTTAAATGAGGAGCAGCAATGTTAGTGGTATTTAAAAGAGTGCTGGCATTTGAAATAGTTGACAACAAGAGATCTTGCTGGTAAACAGGAACACTTTTGATGTCATAGTTAGTTTGGTGGGTGATGGCTTTAATGGATGCTCTGAGAGTTATTATTTACTATAGTTTTATTTTAAAATATGAGAACATTATTTTGAATGCCATAGGGACTATGATAATAAAGAAATACACAATGGTATTAAAATGCTTAAACATATCAGCATATAAAACTAGCTGGAAGCATCAGTATCTGATCAGAGAGGAATTAGCTCAGCAAGATGGAATGACATAGATTCAGAAATTGGCTGATTCTAGGTCTTTACTACATTTGATTCTCAATTTGGTTGAGCTCTCTGGAGAGAGACCAGGTTCACTGTCTGGGTGTTTTCTTGGACTAGTGGCTCTTGCAGGAGTGTCAAACTGAAGCCACGCCCACCCCATTGCTAGCAATGGCGAAACCGTCCCGATACATTGTGTGATATCATGTGACATCACAAGTTTGACATGTCTGTGCTAGAGGAATGAGTGGAGTTATGTCTTTGTTCAGCTCCAGCAGATATGCCAATTCCCACCTTACCTGGAACACTGGGGATAGTAAATTCTCTTCTGTTGTTTAAACTACTGTAATTAGTAATTATCTTTACATCAGACTTCCCTTGAAGATCACTCAGAAACGTGAGCAAGAGCAAATTGCAACAACCCATTTATATACTTTTGTCTGTGGTGAGTTAAGTGACGCTGCAACTGCCTTCTCTCTGTGCCTAGAGGTTTGTTGAGGTCTGAATGGAAAACAACAGTCTAAAACTGAACCCTGGCAAGATAATGGCTTTGGGTTCAGAGCTCTGTGGGTCTTGGACAATTACTCTCTCTGGTAACGGATGAGGTTGCACTAATCAAAGAGATCTGGTACATAATCTGGGGGTTCTCTTGGACTTGCAACTCTTGCTCAAGGAAGGGCTTTGCACAACTGTAAGTTGTGCACAAGTTAAGCCCATTTTTGGACCAACATGCCCTTCTCATAGTCACTAATGTCCTAGTCACCTCCCGTTTCAACTAATGTAATGTAATATGGGGCTGTCTTTGAAGAGTGTCCAGAAGCTTCAGTTGGTTCAAGATGCTGTGACTGACACAGTTTTGTGCAAGCCTAGATTCCTATGTTACCTCTTCTGAGGGACATGCACTGGTTGCCAATTTACTTCCAGAAACAATTCAAGGTGGTGGAACTTTAAAGTCCTACATGGCTTGAGGTGGTCATTTGAATGCCCACCTTTCCTGAGTAAATCTACCAAGCCCATCAAGGGTGGATGGGAGGGTATATTGCAGGCCCCATCTTTTAGAGAGATACATTTGGTGGAATCAAGAAAAAGAACCTCCTTACTGGTGACCCCACTCCATATGGAATATAATTCCCCAAGAGATAGTAGCTAGAGTGACTGTATTGATTGTTGCTGCAGGGAGGGAGAGGCGGGTTTTCTGTTGTGAATTTTTAATGCTATAAGTTGCCCAAAGCCACCATATGTGGGTTGGGCATCTACATATATATGTTTAATAAATAAATAGATTCTTCCATATTAAAACATTGCTATGAGGATTATATTAATTGCCAGTGTCTTTCCAAATACAGTTCAAGGTGCTGGTTGAAGTCCTCACTGTTTCAGAGCCTAAGAACTTTTCCTTGATAAATTATTCCCATTTGATTTGGAAAAATCAGAGAATGCCTACTGGGAAATGCTCAGGAAGGATCCTGTCAGTGATCTCTGAAGGGGTTCCACTCCAGTAGAACAGTTTATCTTCTGAAATAAGAACACCTAAATGTTTTAGGACTTCCAGAAGTTGTAAATGTCTCGCTTTCTCAGAAAACTTTCTGGGATTTATTCTAAAGCCATTGTTATAAAATTTATAATAGCAGGTACAAATAAATAAATTTAGTTTTATCATGTTTTATATTATGTTATGTTTTATTATCATTATATTATACTTTATTCTACAGTAGAATGTTTGTGTATGTGTATACACACACATCCGCACATATACACATGTGCTGTTTAGCGTTCAGCTGGAATGAGGCATTGCATAAATAAGATAGATTTTTTTCTTTTTGCTAAGGCAAATCTATGTTAATTGAAATATACTGAAAAGCAAGACAGTTTAATGAGAGTTTAAATTCAACATGTATAAGTTTGAAGGGGGGCTTCTTTCAGTTTAATTAAATGTTAATTTAATCTATTCTGTTCTCTTGGCTATTATCTGAAAGTCTAACTATTTAGTGTGGGGAAAATTCATTCAAAACAAATCAGTCTGAGGCTCATGTGAAGATTTATGATGGTTCAGTGTTATCTGTGGTCTAACACAGTCACTAAATGTTTATGATCAGACAGAAATGCTGTTTTGAGTAGCATACAAGAAGACTTTCTGCTACAGCCTCTGCTTTTCAGATTGTAATAAAGATACTTACATGTGGATGAAGAGGAATATTTATCAGTTTTACAGACATTATAAGCCTGAGTAGAATAAGTGACACAATGGACAACAGAAACAAGATTCAGAATCTTAACAGGTAATAATATTCCACTGAAATCAAAAGCATAAAGTTTGGAAGGGACAAATGTAAAACCTTTTATTTAGGTACAAAAGCAGACAGTTCAAACAGCAGATAAGATCTGACCAGGAAGAACTACACACAACAAAAGGTCTAGGCATATTGATTAACAAAGTATATAGCTTCTAAAAAAATCATGTAATGTTTGGTTGACTTAAGAGAATTTAATGTACACATTATGAGAAGTAATCATTTTACTCTTTTCTTCTCCAGCTAGGCCACAATTCCAGAAAGTCACTGTCAAAAAGAAAAATGTTAAAAGGGCAACCAGGATGTGAAAGACTGGAATAAATTCTTATGAGAAATAGCTTAAAGAATCTTATTTATTTTGCCCAGAGAAGATTAAGGAGAACCACAAAAACTGCCTTCAAACATCTGAAGGATTTTCACAGAGAAACTGAAACCAACTTGTTATACATTTTTCAGATGGCAGATTTAGACTCACGGGTGAAAATGGCAAGGAAGGAGATTTCAGCTATAGTCAAGATGAAATTTCTAACAAAAAGAACAGCAAACAATCTGGAAAAATGACTGACTCTTCATTGGGGATTTTTTAAGAAGAAGTTAGTTTAAAGTGAGGACAATATATATGCAAAGTAAGGTCAGATTGGATGATCCCAAATCCTTTATGATTGTATGATTGTAATGAATGTCTGATCATGATTAATATATGTACTGTTTTACACTTAAAATAGCCCTAGATCATTTCATAGACTTGTGGCTGAAGTCACATATTACCAAACACAAATGTGCTGGGAAATATAAAACTGCACAATTTCAAAATTCCTCAGGTAGCTTTCTTACTATTATGCAATAAAATTCTTAAGCACTTAAGATGGAAGAACCCAACAATGAGTTTCTTTAAAATGCACTCTGGAGAATAGTAACAAAATAGCTCTCCAGTTATAAGGCTTTTGTGTAAATAAAGCCAGTTTTTCATTGAAAATAATTATGACAAACAGATTTACACCTTACTACCTTTTGCTTTCTTCAAGGAACCTTACATTTTAATAGTTTCTTTATTATTACACTTTTGGTTTCATTTACCGCCAAGTGCTCAGGCTCAATCACAATTTCAGCTGGGAAATGGTGAACATTCTAGGCCAAGTTAAATACAAAAATGCAAGCTAATTCCTTGAAGCTGGCATCCAAGGAAATAAAAAGACCAGAACACATTCCTTCCAGCAGTCAACCCCCAGATAAATGGGGATTACCAAGGAAAATCCACACACCCACCAACACCAGAAGGACAAGCTGCACAGGGAGCAAACCCCACACTCACTTGCACTGATGAGGCTACTTGGTTGGGGACTGAAATGTTTGCAAGCAAACAACCAAACTCAGAGAGGACCAAGGACCACAAAGTACACTTTAATAGCTAAAAACACTTGAATGCATGAAAGTATTAATGGTTTGTTACCAGTTGCCAGAGGTCTAATGGGTTCATTCCTGAGAGGCTAGATGTCTTCAGGCCTGCTTAGCCTTTTCATATCATCATGTCCAGCATTTTATTAGATCTTGCAAAAAAAAAATAAATATCTTCAGTCCTCTAAAACAAAGAGAAGAAATGTGGTTTCATCAGTTACTTTATAATTTTATTCACTTGCATCTTTTTTTTAATTTATCCACATAAATTTATCTGTGCAACAATCAGGTTTTTCTCATGGAGTCCAAAGACATTGTTTCAAGATGTTTATATTAGGTATCTTATGATAACAAAGAATATGAAGCCAATAATGTAGCTTTTATACAGGGATGTTCCCTTTAAAATGTCTATGGAGATAACCCAGCTGTCAGAAAAGCTATTTCACTCTTGGTTCATCAGGGAAGCAGGGAAGAAGGAAGGAAGATATTTGTCATACATAGACACTTTTCTAATACAAAAAGTTGACTGGGCAGCTTACATTTTAAAATGTTACTGTAGTGCACACTTCAACCAAGAAAGTTTCTGGAGTTAAAATCAAAAGATAAAATATTATCTGAAGTCACCTTTTGTAATTTACCCAAACCACATTATGTCTAAGTGGGTGTTGAATCCTGGTGCCACATAAAATAATAGAATAGATAATATAAAATCTATCAATTTTCGTAACAGGTGCTAATATACAGCCATGTAGGGTAAAGTAATTCATTCTATCTTTTCTCTACCTTCCATCCTGGTGGGATGAACTCAGAAAGACTTTTGGGTTGCAATTCATCCATTATGACTTTCCCCCCTCTCTGAACTAGAATTGTTTTGTTTCTGTTATACTTGCTTAAGTTCAGATAAAAAGGTGAGCAAAATATCATACAAAAGGAATTTGCATGTAATTATGCATATGATTACTGAACAATGCTTTGGGGGTATTGACACACGTCTGTGTTGCTAAGAAAGAGAAACAAAAAGTACTTATGAGAAAGAAGAGATAAATTCTTATTTATGGAATTAATTTTAGAAATTTAAATTTAATGGATATTCAGGGCAGCTGCAGGAAAAATAAAGGATATAAGGAGAATCTTCTTATCTGCACACAAGTATACCATTCAGATCTGTTGCTCCAAGTGATAATTTTGCAAGAGTCCCTTTGCAAGATTTTAGATGAATTTTTACACAATAGGAGAATTTTATACAATAGGAGTGCAGTATGTGGCAGCCAAGAATGAGAAGGAAAATGGCTGCAACTATGCTCATTTCTGCTTTATTCATCTCTATCTGTTGGAACCATGACAGTATGTTTCACCCGGGTTCAAATTACAGTTCCTGGAGTAGATATAACAGTCCCATTGAAACATATGTGCCTGGAAATACTTCCCTTGAGGTCTGCCAAGCTCCCCTAGCTGCCTATTAAAAGACCTCCCCACCAATCTTTAGCATAATCTTCTAGCCCAAAATAAAATTGGTTTGTGGCTGCTTTGTTAAGCTGGATTCATAGAGCTCATTCTGATGACAAAAGGGTGACAAAGACCAATCTTGCTATTTGTAGCTGGATTATCCATAACCATGATGGCAGCCATTTTGTTAATGAGGGGTCCTTGGTGCTCTCTGAGCTTGCTTATTTTCTTGCAAACATTTCATTACCCTTGCCTGAGTGGGTAGGTGGGAGTGTCTTAGGGATCCTTTGGTTGGGCTGTATACTAATAGCTCTTTGGCAATTTATTGATTGAGGTATTGTTTACTTGATTATTGGTCTGAAGTTGACTTGGAGTTAATCTATGCTTTTGTGAATGTACATGCTTCCAAAATCAGTAAGCATTCTTAAGACATGCTCTTAAAAGGGTAACTGTTTCTACTTTTTGTTAATTCTTTATCTAGAATATTGGTCCAGCACTTATCATTTACAGTATACAGTTCTCGATTATCTATTTGCTACAATGATTTGAAATGATTATAAATCTAATTGGTGACTTACAGCTTTAGAGCATGCCCAAATTTGAAATTGATATAAAATGGGGGGGGGAGAGACAGAATGTTAGGTTGCATATTCTGCTGTTCCTAAGTTCATATGTTAAGAAAACAGTCATTTGAAAATGACTGTTGATGCTGTTAAGGCCCTTGTATTACTATGATATGGTGAGTACCACCTCAGTTATTGTAGAACATGAAATGTCAGGTTCTAAGAGAACCCTATGGCTCTAGGAAAATAAATAATGGCCTGCTGAATTGGACCCCTGACCCATCTAATCCAGCAGCATATTCTCACAATGACCAACCAATTCCACAAGTAAGTCCACTAGTCTCACAGCAGATGGTTGTGACAGATGGCTGTCACAGAGAGGAGAGGATCAGCCTGTTTTCCAAAGCACCTGAAGGCCAGAAAAGGAGTAACAGATGGAAACTAATGAAGGAGAGATTCAACCTAGAGATAAGGAGAATTTTTCTGACAGTGAGAACAATCAACCAGTAAGAACAATCAACCAGTGGAACAGTTTGTCTTCAGATATTGGGGCAGTTTCATCACTGGAAGCTTTCAAGAAGAGACTGGATTGCCATCTGTCAGAAATGGTGTAGGGTCTTGTGGTTGGGCAGGGGGTTGGACTAGATGACCTACAAGTTCCCTTCCAACTCTGTTATTCTGATTCAGATGGTCTTCAGAGATAGTCATTCTATATTCAATGCTAATAGTTATTAATTCCTATGATTTCCATGAATTGTTCCAATCCCTTTTTTTATAACCAGCCAAGCTATTAGTCAGCACCAGATATCATGGTAACAATAAAGCAGATCTGGACACTGGAGTGCAGATGGTGTAAATCTCAGAAGATGACTGATTATAGGCTAGAGTACATTACCGTATCTATTGTAAAAGACATGAAAAGGGCATTATTTTGGTCCACTACTGCATTTTTATTAGCTATCCAGTACAATGATATCATATGGTTTGAGAGCATTTAGCAATTATCCCAACCAATGGAGTATTAGAGCCCAGAGATGTGTAGGGGCAATTCATTTGAAAGGCATCTTGAGAATAAAATCATCTAGGCTTCCAGGACTATAGTCTATATGCTTGTAATGGTTGCCATAAGTAATTCAATGTCATTTTCCCATCTGGTCCAGTACTATAGGATCATTTTCACTTATGAAATCTGAGGAGATGAACAAGGTGCTTTGTAGTTACACATCTGATCATGTGTTTTTGTGAGCCCTGTCATTTGTAGCTGCTTAGTTCTAGCAGAAGATTTAAGTGGAGAATGCAGAGTGTGGAAAATGCATCTCTGCAAAAGTGAATGCCAGATACCTTCAAAAGTTAATATTTTGTCTACTCTTCAAGAAAATTGATTGGATAACTTAATAGCCATCAGTTACTAATATCTTATTCCTACAAAGGAGCAGATATTCATTCAATATCTGTTTCTCTGAACAGATCTATCTATTCAGTATAGATTCAGAGACTGGTTGTGATGGATAACTTTTAGTGGGAGAAGAGAGGAGAATACCACATTGTTAATTCTCAGATTTTTCTGTAGATTACCATATCATTGAAAAAGTATCCTTTAGAACTGGCTCTGTGAATTGGGAGTTGATGGCATTTTTAAAAAAAGTTTCAGACCTTTATGAGGTAACTCATCTATACAATGACTCTGGATAGTGTGCAATAAAAACAAACATATATTAAAAAGATAAACCCAAATGCAAGAAAACAGCAACTAATAAAATACAATCAAACATAGAACTTATTCTCTTTCAAAGCTCATTTGATCACAGCCAAATTGCGGGGAAGGGGGAGACATATCTTGGGGACAATTAAGTTTTAAAGAGCAGATGTCGCAACAAGTAGGTACTCCTAGGTCCCATCAGGTGACATTGTTTAACAGATGGAATCTGGAGCAGGGGAACTGTGCCTGATAGTTCTGGCTGGAAAAGCTGTTATGGAAAATAGTCATTTAGATAATATGGTCTACTCCATTAAGGCAAGTGTGTCAAATTTGCAACATCACTTGATGTGTCATGACATATCGCAACTTTTTTTCCATTGCCAGCAATGGGATGGGCGCAGTTTCGGCATGATGCATCCAGCCCGCAGGCCGGTAGTTTGACACCCCTGCATTAAGGCTATAAATAATAATAATAATGGTAATAATGGTAATCATCATCATCATCAGTTGGAAGGGACCTTGGAAGTCATCTATTCCAACCCCTGTGCTCAGGCAGGAAAACTTATACCATTTCAGACAAATGGCTGTCCATTTAAATAATAATAACCAGCACTTTGAATGACACAAACTTCTATAAGTAAGCAACGCAGCTCATGGAGGAAAGGTGTTATATGAGCCTGACAAGGTATGTTGACAATTCCCACTCTTCCACATTCTGTACCAGTTGCAGACTATGATCAATTTTCAAGAGCAGCCCTAAGGACAATGCATTGCCATAGTCCATATCCATCAACATCATCAAAGAATAAACAAATGGTAAAAGGCCTCCCAGACAAGGTCAGGGCACAATTGATACACAAGATGGATATGTACAAAGGCTTTCTTGGCCACAGTTGCTAACTGCTTCTCAACTGGGAAATGTGAGTCCAGAACTTTCAAACTATACACTAGTCCTGAAGGGAAAATTTCAATCACAATCAGGACTAAAGGTGAAACATTCCCAGACCTGGGATGGGGGGTGAGTCCAAAAACCTGCAAATATTGCTAGGTTGATTTAAGCCTGTTCTCTATGAAACAAGATTTCACTCTGCCTGAATACTGTTCAATATCTATGCAAACATTTCAGGGACAATCATTAAGAGATTTGGAGTGAATCAATAAAATAAATAAATCTTGCCTAAAATTCCCATGATCTGAAAAAAATACATTTATCAAAAATTTCCTTTTTTGTTCTATCATTTTCAACAGCCTATCAAGTGGGGTAAAGGAAAGAATAATTCACCAGGCAAGCAAATAAAATATTTTTAATAGAGATGTGAAGATTTCAAGTTTCATTTTCAAGCAAAATTCTAATATTTTGGATTGGGCATGATATTTAGCTTATTCATATTAGTCAAAACAGAAATACCCATATCACAAAACTGATTCATTAAAATAAGTCTCATGAATCTGTCTTATAGGAAGAGAAAATTGTACCCTTTCTAACAAATTAATTTGTTTAATTTATTTTTTCTATCAGTTAGAAGTAGCTTGCTACTGTTTAGTCTATATGCAACTCATGCCCCTTTCATATTATTTAATCCTTGATTAGCACATATATTTTCCACTTCAAAACTACTTTAAAAAACAATTAAATCTGCATTTCAATATATAGCTAACCCTTTAACCAAATCTGCATTTTAGCTGGACTTTTTTTTCATAATTTCCATTTTGATTCCTTTCTGAGAAATTTTAAAAAATGAAGTGCAAAATCTGAAGATATAGTCAGGACGGTATGGATTGAGTCCATTCACATTGTAATTTGCAAGAAGAAATCAAGTTCTCAGTCATTCTTAGTACTGGCAAGTCCTACATACAAGGTAGAATCAGTAGACCACTTATATTAGTACTTTATTAAATTTCATTTCTAGTTTTAGAAAATCAGATTTTTAATTTGTGAAAGTTTAAAAAGTTGTCATTTTAAGAAATGGCAGATCATACTGGTACTGTCCTCTCACTTCTTCTCTCAATACTTCATAATGGAGTTTTCATAATTTCATAGTCATAATTATGTTCTCATTATTTAATGAACATTCTAAGAATGTGTGGCGTAACATGACTATTGTAGAAATATGTTTTAAAATGTCATATGTTATTTCTACATTCCTTATTAATTAAATACTCGTTACAGTTTATAGATCTTTCGAGCTATTTTAAATAGTTGTTTCCTTATTCTACACTTTGGGTTAAGGTTGCTATATCAGCCTTCAAATTTATATTATCCTCTCCATGAGGAAAATATTTTGTTTTAGTATTTGTATATATAAATTGACTCATATTGTTTTTATTTTACTTACCATTTTGAGTCTGTGATCTTTAACAAGCACTGTCTTTAACCCAGAAAATTGCAAACATTCAAATTACAAATATAACTGCCACATTAGCAGAAGACATCAAAGCACAGATTGGTTAATACACGTGCTTTGATTTATCTTTAGACCATAGCATTCCTTCTGCCAATATATATTATTTTTGATAGGCTTTCTTCTCTTCATCTTCTGCTGCTCTAGGGTTCAAATGACAGACTAATAAATAGTCATGTACTCTAGAATCACAGCCAACCCAAATCAACTCAGTGGAATCTGTAAACAAAAGCAGAAATCATCCAGACTTGTTAGTGAAGTTCAGTATGAAGAATAGATTCAGTAATTTGGCAGAAAAGCTTCTCAATGTTCAAGATGATGTCAAGTCAATAATTAATACATTCATTCATTCATTCATCTTATATCTCATAGAGGCATCTTTGGCTAGCGTACAACACATTAAAACAATTAAAAACATTTTCAACAAAATATAAAGAACTTACTATGAATGCCAAGAATAAGATAAAGTGATCTTCAGGACAACAGTATGAGGGCCATCTTATCACCTGCCTCCAGTGGTGGGATTCAAATATGTAAACAACCAGTTCTCTGTGTGGATGCCACTTCCTGAAGTCCATTCTGGGCCTGGGCAACAAAAAATTAGCTACCGGTTCTGCTGAACTGGTGTGAACTGGCTGAATCCCACCACTGCCTGACCCTCATATTCTTCACTTCCAGATTTTCAATGCTTTGCAATCGCCCAGCAGGGTTGAGGCCAATGTAATTCAATGGGGAGGGGAATGTTCCAGAATTCAAGCACTGCAGCAATAATTCAAGAAGTTAAAGCAAGAAATAAATTCAATACATTCAAAGTCACAAAGTCATGGAAGTTGTTCCAGCATTGCCCTGTCCTCAGACAAAAAGCTTTTATACTAGAAGAGGCTATATCTCTCCAAACATAATGGGCTGGAATAAAATGCAGAAGCCAGGCTATTTAGAAGAAAAAACATATTCCCAAGTAGACATCATCTTTAAGGTACACCTTTAAGCAACCAGGCACTTCTCTGCTTCTCTGCTATTTGTCAAGATTCTCACTGATTTGGAGGCTATGTTTCTGTATCAAGATCATAATCCAGGATTATAGAGTTAGGATCAGAGATAGTTGATTATGCTGACATTTCTGATTTAATATCCTGATATCAGGCTTAAATCTCCCAATTACTAACAGCAGGGGTCTTCAAACATGGCCCTTTTATGACTTGTGGACTTCAACTCCCAGAATTCCTCAGCCACCATGCCTGGCTGAGGAATTCTGGCAGTTGAAGTCCACAAGTTATAAAAGGGCCAAGTTTGAAGACCCCCGACTAACAGTAACAATTATCACCACCACATGTGAACCACATGGGGAGAGCAGTGAGATCTAGATTTTTTTCTACATCTTCACATATGCCTATGTGAATGGCATAGGTCTCCAATTAAATGGTGGACTAATTTTGTACAGATCATTTTGAGACGTGTCTGCTGATGTTGTTATATTGGGCTATCATAGTTGCATACAAAAACCCATATGATCAGTACAGGAGTACAAGAAATTGGACTTCCTATCTCTTTATTGTAACCTATTGGCAAAATTTGCAGCCCAAAATGATAGCCTTTGAAACATAAGTTAATGTTATGTGTCTTAAAATCAATCATGTCCATATTCTTATTGATCTGTTTTTAAGGTCTGCTGCAGGTAGTTCTCAACAATTGAACCCAATATTTCTGTTGCTAAGCAAAACATTTGTTAAGTGATGTTTACCTTATTTTACAATCTTTCTTGCCATAATTGTTAAGTGAATCACTGCAGATGTTAAGTTAATAACATAGTTGTTAAGTGAATATGGCTGCCCCATGGACTTTGCTTGTCAGAAGATCACAAAAGATGATCACATGGCCCCAAGACAATGCAATTATCATAAATATGAGTCAGTTGTCAAGTGTCTGAATTGTGATGACATGACCATGGGAATGCTACAATGGTTGTAAGTTTGAAAAATGGTTATAAGTCACTTTTTTTAGTGCCATTGAAACTTTGAACAGTCACTAAACAAACCTCTGTAATTCAAGGACTACCTATATTGTCTTAATAGAAAATACATTTCTTCATTCTTACAACTTTACCAGTTCTTTAAACAACATATCAAAGTCCCACATTCATTTTCACTAAACTCTTTATCTATCATTCTTAGATTAATACTGCCACTCTAGACATTACACAATCAGTTGATTCTTTGGCTCTAGGAGTAGATTAACAATCTCTCATAGATGTTTATATTCTCCTGAAGAGGAAGAGGAAAGGAATGGTGGACAGAATTGTGTTGTGGTGGTAGTTAAGTTTTTAACTCTATTGTTTGCTTCTATGTGCTGTATTGTTCCTGCTTCTTTATATATTTAGGGTAATATCTGGGATAGAAAGCTAATTCTAAATCAAGACATTGAAATATGAAAAGGGACTTCTTTGTTGCTCATATCTAGTTGCTAAATAAGGTATCAATTAGACTAGAACGATCATATCTAATCTGCAGAAATGTAGATTGCCATTAAATGATAGTAGATATTAACATTTTGCAGTCATCTAAGGTTGTCCAAGGCTCTGTGGCCCAGATATGGTAGCCTAGCAAAACAGCACCAGTGTCAATTAATCACAATTTTAAAGGTCAACTTTAAGGTTAATATCACTACATTCTTAAACATTGTCTGCTGAAACTCTTACTTAAACATTTTTCCCATTGGGAAATGGTGGTGAGGAGGACAGAATAAAAATTAGCCGTAATCAGAAAAAATGTGTCTTATCTTCTTCCAATGCCTCATCTATTAGACACTATTTAATAAACAGCTCAGTGTAAAGCCTTCCATCATTATTAGACACTGCCAAGAAAGGTCTCCTTTTCCTTTGCCAAGTTCACATGGACTGAATGGATGGAGCAGACAAAAGGGCTATATTTCACTTCCTATGGGTCTTCCATCATAGCTCAGGCATAGACCTTTTGCTGTTGAGTGTTATCGTAGTTCCAGCTGCCATCATAATGACAGAAAAATTAGGGATCCTTATGTTCTGAGAAGAAGCAAACATAATCTTTTTAAACCCTTGATACCAAAAAAAGCAACTTAAAAAACCCCACCCCTCTGCAGATGTTTCTTATATGTGACTAAATGTGGTTAATTCTGATATTTTCTACCTACAAAACCCAGTGGGTTTAGATTATAGCCACGTTGGAAGTCTGAATTAAATTTGAGGCTTTGCTAAATAGAATTGTTCCCTGAAAGTGGACAGAACAAATGATTACATCCTTCAATTAGCAAATTCTGCAGAAGTTTATGTCATTTAGTGTTTAACTGAATTTGAAAGCGATCCCAAGCACAATGAATTTCAGTTCTTATTTTAAACAAAGCTGTGTCAATTCTTCCACCAGCAAGGCACTTTGTTTCCTTCCAGGGCATCCTGTAAAGAAAATACATTATTGCAATTGCAATTTTTATGGATTTTACTTATCTCATTAAGTAACAATATACACATACACAAACAGTATAACACAGATACATTAGTATTTTTAAACCTCACCAAACTATTTAACTTCATAGGAAGAATTTCTCCAACATCCTACAACAGAGTTGCTTCAAACTGGGAGTCTTTTCTCTTATCCAACAACCTGAGCAGTCATTTTAAAGATAGAGTATTTTCAAAAGTGTGGGCCATATGCCAACTATGCTTAACACTATCCTGTTTAATGAAACAAGTGCTGATGCCTTTGAATTCTGGTGTTGGAGAAGAGTTCTGAAAATACTGTGGATAGCCAGGGAAACAAACCGAAGGCTCATCAAACAAATCATGCAAAGTCAGGAAAGTGGCTAAATTCAGTTACAGTGGCAATAAACATACTATTGGGAGACCTAAAAGTACAGGATAAGGATAGATCATCTTGGAGAAATTCATTCTATGTGGTGCAAGAAGTCAAAAATGGCTTGATGGTACATAATTAATAAAACAGTATGCCAACAAGCATACTGAAGGTAATTTTTCTTGCCTTCTTGGAAAGTTGTCAAACAGCTGACTTTTCGAAGTCTCCATTAACAGATTTCCTCATTCTCTTTCTTCATGGCTGCTTAATCACTCCTTTGTTAGACTTTTTCCCATTTGGCCTTTATGAATCTAGTGAGTTTCTTCTCTTTTCAACTCTCCCACTCTCAAACCTCCCCCACCCATATCTACTGTAATTTCCTTGGGGATGAAAGTTTCAGTTTCTATCCATATTTATTGAGCTGCCATTCACTGTTCCTAAATTCTTTATGCCCAAGATACATGGAGTAGAATCCTAGTAGAGGATTCTATATAGGCAAAGAGGGAAAAAAACGTTCCTGTTTTTCTTCTTTCCATTCGTGAGTAGTCTTTTTATCAGCAAAGGAAGGAGTCCCCTCTCTGTTGGCTCTCAATAACCTTCTTTTCTTCTTCTTTTCTCTCCTTTCTCTGACTTGCAACATTCAGAATCCTATTTGTTTTTGAGCTAAAACTCTTCCTAGTTCCAAAACCAAATCATTTTCTCTTCTACTGTACTCTTTCTTCCTACTTGTTCTTAGGGATTAGTTAAACTATGTCCTGGATGGGAAAGGATGTAGCAGGAAAAACAATACAGTTCTAAGATCTTATTTTCTGCTTCCTGAAATTCAATTATAATCTTTTCCTGGGTTGTACCAATTTTACTGCAATTGAGCTGCATGACTATAATCATAATATTTATGAAATAAAACATCTAAAACATGCTTTCTTAATAGTGTGGGAAAAAATTAAAGCTAAAATATATTCAAAAATTCCAGGGTAGTTATCAACGATGGAGGCATTTATTCATCCGAACCTGATAGACTTTGAAAAAACATGGACATATAAAGATATTTTAGATATGAATGGGAAATTAAAATCTAAACAACAGATTGGAAAATCAGGGAATTAATCTGTCTTGGTGGGCAGATTTACAGATACAAAGTAGATATGAAAAAGATGTAAAAATGTATGGATTTTACAAGGACCAATCTGTGTTTGATAAGATTTTGTTATCCTCAGATGAGTAATCAAGAAAATGTATAACTTTTTGTTAATTTTAGATATGAAAAGTGAACAAGTGAAAGAAACGATGACAAGATGGGCGAAATTTTTTGGTTATAATATAGAATTAGAAAAATGGCAAATGTTATGGGAGAGAAACTATAAATGAACAATGTCAACTTCATACAAAGAAAATTTGTATAAAATGTTTTATAGGTGGCACCTTCCACCAGCAAGATTAGCAAAAATGTTTAAAAATATGTCAGATAGATGTTGGAAATGTAAACATAACATAGGCACATATTATCTTATTTGGTGGACATGTGGGAAGGCAAAGGCTTATTGGAAAAATATACATACGTGGTTAGAAAAAATATTGGGTGAACAAATGGATTTTAAACCTGAGCTTTTTCTACTAGGCATTATGCCTGAAAAGACTAATAAGCAGAAATTATATTTAATTGTACACATCACCACAGCAGCGAGAATAATTTTTGCACAATACTGGAAGAATGAAGGATTGCCATCAGAAGAAGAAATAATTAGGAAAATACTGGAATGTGCAGAGATGGACAGATTAACTATGAGATTGAAAGACAAAGAAGATACAGACTACTATCAAATTTGGAATTTATTTTATTCTTGGTTAGAGAAAAGAATGAAGGATTAGGAATTGGATATGTATTAGCTTAGCAAACTCCAGACAACTTTGTTGATTGGAAAAATTAACATATGTTGATGAAAAAAAAATTAATAAAAAATAAATAAATAAGAAATAAAACATCTGAAACCTATCATTACATGAGAAATGGCAAATGAATCGCAAATGAATATTCAGAACAACTTAAATATAAATGTTGCTTGTCCATGGCTGTTAGCTTAGGCAATAAAGTTCATTACATTTAGCCTGCATGCAATGCCTAATGCTGTTGAGAATTAACCAGTTTACTTTGCTATAGTCAGTGCTTTTTTTCTAAAAAAAAAAAAAAAGGTGCCAGAACTCACACATGTCATACAACCCACCTTGCCTACCCTACAAGGTTCCATCCCAAAAAGGTGCCAGAACTCTGTTCTGGGCATTCTATGAGAATAAAAGCCCTGGCTATAGTATTATCTAGCACGATGCAAAGGAATACTAGTCATATATACATTCCACTTTCTTCTGCATCCACTTTACTCTGTAGTCAACACCACTGATCTGAATTTAACTCATCCAACTCTTAATTAAATCAGTCTATTTCATCAACCAAATACTTTGATTTTTCCAATTCATACTAAGTAACCTACCAATTTATTCATTTTTCCCCCATCCTTAATTATTAGTTTGGTACCATTTCTTCCAGGTTACATACAGGTTTTTTAATGAGTCATTCAGGAGGAGTCTGGTGTCTACATGGAAGTCTCAGAAAATGCTGCTTCACAAAGGTGTTGTATGAATCAAATGTAGGTCAGAAATGCTAAGTCTACATCTTCATCACCACTATGTAAAAATCATATACTGTTGTTCACTAAGAATTTATTCTAGCTTCTGTTAGTCCTGAAAAATCAGTTCAACTCTATTGAGTAGGTTCATGCATTGTGAGGAATTCTGGGAGTTGAAGTCCACAAGTCATAAACGACCCCTGCATTATGACCATTATTAATAAGCAAACAAAACATTCTTCTAAGAAAACCTACTATCAGCCCATCCAACAGCTCCTTAGGAAAGGTGATAATTAGACTTTGGGTGAATCTAATGGTGAACTGATATTCTTCTAAAAGAGAGGAGCACATTGCAACCACAAATCAGGCAACTCAATCTCTTTGGAGTTAAAGAGAGATTGTCAGATTAACCACATATACTCTGCAGAATTGCTTTTGTGTGTGTGTGTGTGTGTGTGTGTGTGTGAATGGAAGGTAGGAGATGTGTTTTTGCAGTCAGCTTGCGATTGTCTAGATCAGGGGTGTCAAACTGCTTGCCCGCAGGCCAGACGCATCAACCGGAAGCCGGGCCCACCCCATTGCCAGCAATGGCAAAACTGTCCCAATACGTTACGCGACATCATGTGACGTTGCAAGTTTGACATTGTCTGGTCTAGAGGTTATGGGATTCCATCATGCTTATAGGCACTCCTATATGAATTCTAAGTTCAACTAGCTCATCTCTTAATCACTTTGAACTTTATTTTTTTTATTCTTTCTCTTACTTTAAAGATTTAGAATCTTTCAACTGGTATGTTTTATTGAAATCACTGGGTGAATGTCCTTTAATCCTTAAAAATTTTTAACTATAAGTTAAAAAATTGTATTTTAGGTAATATACAGCAAAAGGATGATTATTGTTGGCTTTGGAAAGTTTCACACAAATTAGGCACTCAGATGGACTTGATTTAAGATTGTGATGTTGATTGAAAGGATCCTTTCCCATAATAGAAGCCTCTATTTACATTCTATACATTTTGTACAGACATCAGAGAGCACCAGATGACTATTTTAAAAAAGTGTTTGGCTCATGGTGATAAGAGATTTTTGAATATTTAACTATTTATTAGCCTTGGCTGGTGTAATTGAAAAGGATCAAGCCCTATTAAATAAAACTGATTTACAGTTTTAAAAAATCACAGTTTACAATGAGATGGAAAAATGGATTTACAAATGAAAGATGACAGCTCAAAAATTGAAAAAACAAATAGAAATAATAAACCAGATGAGATTTCATATATTGAGAATATAATAAAACCAGATTAATTTCTTATACCGAATTTACAAGAGGGTTTGCTAGAGATACTCTATTGAAAATACAAAGAGGGTTTGATAAAAATAAAGAAAATAATTTTGAGAGAAGAGAAAGGCAGATGCTATAACTTTTTTTGAGAATTTTAAAGACTGCAAAAAAGAAAAAGAAAAAAATATGAACTTAATTTATCTGGCCAAAGTTAAAATAATGAGTTGTTTCTTTGAGGGATATACTATAGTCTTAATTAAGACATGATGACAATGGTTATTTCTGGTGATGTTTAAATTGTTTTTTGAATGGACTATATTTTGATTATTTGAAAACAAGAAACAGGAGAAATTGTTTAAAGGAAAAAGATGGATTCAGATTGAGTATAATAGATATAGTTTGTAATACTTATGGTTATTTTTCATAATCTCTATTGGACTTTTTTATTTGATAAGGTGGGTTTATAGAAATTAAGGAAAGATATAAAATGAACAAATTTTTGGTTTTATTTTAAGAGAGGATAAATTCTTAATCTTGATTAAAATTGCTGGGGATGAAGATGAAAATTTCTTTTTTTCTTTTCTGTCTTTCTTTCTTTTTTCCTCTTTTCTGCATCTTATTTTTTGTTATTTTCTTTAAGGTATTTATTTTGTACTTGTATAAGTTTTCCTTGTATAATATAGTCCCTATTTTTTTAAAA